TCTCCATCTTTACGCAAACCATGCTCACCGATGCAGTCGACAATGTTAATGCAGGGATGGACCTGTACACCATTGCTGTTGTCAACTCAAAATTGTTAATGTGTCAACTTTTTTTTAAGTTGTTCAGGCTTTATCGGGGCACCACAGTGTAAATGTATCTATTTTATTACAAAATTAGTCAATCTTTCTGCCCAACACCATTGTTCTTGCCCTGACTTCTATTCGCTTCCTTGTTCTTACTCTTCATGTTGTTGCTTTTTGTCATTGTGGCGACCGTAGTCACTGTTGCAAATTGGACTGTCCTAGCCCCTTCGTTCTCACCTGAAACATCCAAATAGTACTACATAAGCTTCTGCGATATTTATTCATAATGTAGTGTTCGGGCTCCGAAATAGGGCCCTACGTCGTCGGGTAATTTGCTTTGCCAAAAATGTGGGAAGTTGGTGCAGAGCGATCGAAACGCCGAGCCTTCATTCATTAATGAGCAGGTGCGCCGTGAGAAAGGAAACGTTTTCAAAGCGCAATGCGCGAAGTAGCTCGGCCTCTTAGATCCGGAGGAAGAGGGGGTTGGGGGGAGCTTTCTACAGTAGCAGCGAACGAATATCCAGCGTGAGACGGGCGATGTGTGCGCGGTAAATGTTTGTTTTGTTTTTTTTAACACGCGAACGCAAACATTGTAAGTCACGGCCTGCGTTACGACACGCCGTAGCCATCGGCGGATGGCCACAGTTTTGACACGAAATGCCGTTGGGGCCGCAAGGAGCCGTTGGGCGTTGCGTGAACGCGGCGCCTCGGGTGCTGGTGCGTCTCGGCCTCCGGGATTGAGCTGCGCGGGTGGTGTCAAGCGGAGCGGCGGCCGGACGACAAAGGGTGAAACGTCTGGTTTACAGAACGCACCGGGGCGAGGAATTCCGTCACAGAACCCCCTCCCCACTCTCTCTCGCACCAGGTGAGAGGAGGATGAACCAGGTCGTCCTGGGTGTCTGATCCGTGCCAGAGAGGGCATGGTGGCATGAATGGGTTGATTCTCTTTTCTGTGCGGGCCCCATTTGTGTGTCCACAGTCAAATGCCCCCCCCCAACCCACTCTCATTCTTTACGAACAAAGCATGGGCAAAGAGCATATCACTTCCGCATGTTTAGATAACAACATCAATAAGTGGACAATATGCCTCCTTCCAATATCTATGTGGATGGAAATAAAATTATTTTTCAAGTGGAGGGACAGATACATTAATGAGGTTCATTTTCTGATTGTTTACTTTGTTACTTATGTTACCCACAACGACACATCATTATTTCACATTAAAGTTGTTGAGCAATAATTTTGCCACATAGGCAGACAAAGCATGGAGGCTCATGCCTGGTTTGACGGCTCGCGTAGAGATTGGGGAAAATCTCAAATGTTCTGGGTGGCGCGTTAGGAAATGGTAGTGCAGCGAGTGTGTTGATAAATTCATCTGTGCAGACCTTTCAGTTGTACCTCGTCATATGGATATTCTCCATACATCCTATCTTTTTCCCCAAAGCAAACACTTCTTACAAAAACTGCCCAGATATCCCAACGCAGGGCCCTGTTCACGAGTCTTAAGGCCGAGTGAGGAGTTTCTCAACAGATGTATTCTAACCTTGCACATGATGGCGGCAGTATGTTCAGGAGGGAAATGTCACGGTCGATGCCTGCTGGCCATGAGAGGGCTTCAGGAGACAGAGTTCGTGTTAGTATTGCACAGCCCACAGTGGCTTCACTCTATGGTCCATAGCTTGGGTTTCATGGCTACGATCGCACTACAACGATGGCTTGTGTCCTTAATTTTACACCCATGAAGAAGCTCTGCACAATGGCCTTGTTGTCTTCTGATATTGTTGATGGTTACACCTGGTTACACCAGTGAAATATTTACATGGCTTCTAAAGTTGACTTAAAGCTTTCGTGACTGCAGGAATTCATATTCTTTGGGTCTTTCTTTTGCCTCAGCAGCTCTCTCGCTATATTTGTTTCACCTGATGACGATTGCTTGTGTTGCGATCGAAACGTGATAATTTTATTATTTTTCTATCTACGTGGCTTTACCGAAAGACCCAAAGAATATGGCTTCTAAAGCTGAATAAGTTCTATTTAGCAGCTTTATTATTAATGTCCCACGTACTTATACAATAAAAGTGCATTACTAATCCATAAAATACAGAATAAGTGCCTCGTTATAACAGGGACAGTCACGACTGTGACACAGGGGAGGTAAATCCCCCAAAGAAGTCATTTATTTCCTGCTCTTTCAAAAAATCCAATGCGTTCTCAAAACGAGAAACAATGAAAAAAAAACCGTTTCCGTTCACTCGAGGCCAAACATCACTTTGCCGTGCGTCGACTCATTTTTTTTATCCTTTCCGTACAACCCCCCCCCCCTCCTTCCCCCCTCAACATTGCACGCGTGGGATTGCTGCTCTTGGAAATTGTAAAAAAAAAACGTTCACTTTTAATTTAGGCCGTAATCCTTCAAATGGGCCTGTTTATATTGCTTTCCATCTGAATGGCCCAAGCGTTGCCATTGTTGGCCACACAAATCGAGCGCGGACAAAAGCTTTTCTCTTGCCACTCCTTTGTTTTCCGAAGAGCGTTCCGCCCTCACGCACAACGGTGAGCCGCCCCCTCTCGCCGCTAATCGAGATGAATTTGTTAGCAGCAGGCACTCGATCACCCCCCACGGACACCTCTTAAAGTGAGCAGAGGTCAAACGTGAGCCTCGTTTGGACACCAGTGACATGGATTTATCATCGATCTTCCTCTGAAACCCCAGGAAGTAACAGATTCCTAAGACAATTAAACAATAAAGAGCCTTCATATGGAGGGAGAGACATGAGAAGGAGGCGTATTTTCGGCTCTTTAACTCTGATGTGCATCATTCGCCGTACTTTTGATAATGGTTTTACCCAAAACTTGCATTCTTTTCCTAAGACAGGAGTGACAAGAGTTATTGTGCGGTTGATGTTGGCTTGCGCTGTACGTGCAGGCGTCCATGTGCGCGAGTGGAAGCTCCTCCACCCGCTCTATGTACGCAGAGCCAAATTCGGTTTCTTGAGCACGAGACTCGAAGTTATCTCCATCGGGCATCGAGGCGGTGCTCATTTCTCGCTTAAAGCCTTGAACCAGTAACAATAATTCCACATACCTATGGTCGGGGAGAGTGGTGGTCCATCGGACCACCACTGCTGCTCTTCCCCACCGAGTGATACTCATCTCACCGACCTTAGAGGGAGGGATTTTGGTCCGAGTAAAACCACTCAACCAGGATTTGAACTCAGAACCTTCCAATCGCGAGCCACTCTCTCTCTCTCGAGCGTTGGTGCCACGTGGCCGATGAAGTTTAGTCTGTGATCGGAACACGGTTCTCCGCTTCAGAGGCAGCCACGGTGGCTGCCCCTCCACGCAGACTCTTGTTTGCTCCCATAGCAACTCTCGTACAGCTCCCACGGTAACTCTCGTTCGGCTGCCATGGGGATTCTCGTTCAGTTCCCACGGCGACTCTCGTTTGGCTGCTACGGCAACTCTCGTTGGGCTCCCACGGCGACTCTCGTTCGGCTGCCATGGCGACTCTCGTTCCGTTCCCATGGCGACTCGTTTGGCTGCCTCGGCAACTCTCGTTCAGTTCCCACGGCGACTCGTTCGGCTGCCACGGCGACTCTCGTTGGGCTGCCTCGGCAACTCTCGTTCAGTTCCCCCGGCGACTCGTTCGGCTGCCACGGCGACTCTCGTTGGGCTCCCACGGCAACGCTCGTTCCGTTCCCACGGCAACTCTCGTTCAGTTTCCATGGCGACTCGTTTGGCTGCCACGACGACTCTCGTTCGGCTCCTACAGCGTCTCTCGTTCGGCTGCCACGGCGACTCTCATTCCGTTCCCACGGTGACTCTCGCTCGGCTGCCACGGCGACTCTCATTCCGTTCCCACGGTGACTCTCGTTCAGTTCCCACGGCGACTCTCGCTCGGCTGCCACGGCGACTCTCGCTCGGCTCCCTCCCATTGGCTTTGGTGGCCTTGGTTCCGAGTAGCTCACCGTGACCACAATGCGCTTGGCGCTCGGCCGTGCCCCACGCTGCAAGTGCCGCTAATTAGTCCCCTGCACGTCGCTTGGCTCACCGTCTTGGATTTGGTCGCGCTGCCCTGAAGATGTGTACCAATGCTAATGTTTCCCCGAATACAAGTTGAGCAACATTTAATTATTCACATTATGTCTTGGAACCAACGATGGTATCGTGTTGCAGGAAATCTCAATTTAAATTAATAAAATCAATCAAGTTGACAATACCCCCTCCTTCCCAAATGTGTCTCTCCATATGTAAGTACTGTAACGTAATAATTGTGTTCCTTGTATTTTCTGTAAGCAGGAAAACAACGCTGTGGCATATTCTCCGTAGGAATGCCAATGGCGACGTTGTGCTGTGATTTATGTCCATTTATGTCGGACTAGGTACCAATAAGCAATACGTTTCATGCGGTACAATAATCCTGGCAAGCCACAGCAAACGTTAACCACACATTAAGTCAAGTTGGCCCATTCAAGTGACATTGGCTTTCACAACTAGACCATCGCCAGAACCTCCACGAGTGTTGAAACGTGAACCGGCAATCTCCTCCCCACAGCTCGTGGCTCAACGCGCACGCACGGAGGCCGTCCACGGAAAAAAATGAGATGGAGAGGAAAATAAATTAAAGCTATTCGAAACAAACTACACGAGTGTAAATGATATGTAGAAAAATATATAGAGTGGTAGATGTTTGTGCTTGAGCTGTCACAAGCTACGTTATAACCTAAACATGGGGAGCAAGGGAGCGGCCCATGTTATCCTGACGCTTTGCTGAAGAGTGAAAACTCCCATTCATTAATTAAAAAAAGAAACACATTAATTTATAGTCAGCCTCACAGACGGCTGAATAGGAGGCATTGTATTGCAAGTTGCTATTACTCCTTTGAGCTTAGGAGACGCACGCTCAACACGGAGTCTCTGCGCAGAGTGGACTCTCTTTTCCGACGAGGAGTGCTTCAGTCTTGGCAGCGACTTGCCGGAGGGAGTTTGAAGGAATCTGAGGTGAGAGCGCGTCCAGGCGGGATGTGGGAGTGGGCTCTGAGGTGGTCGTGCTCGTGGCACGAGTGGTGAGCGAAGGCTGCTCTCATCAGCAGAGGAGTGATGGCGATATAAATTATATCGTGCATTAAACTAATGTTGTTGTAACAAGACTGATGGGGGGGGGAGCGTTATATTTCCAAATGAACAAATTAATTACAAAAAAATAACATAATTATGGAAGTGCAGTGGCGCAGTGGTTAGCACACTGCGCTCTGAGTTTCGACACCTGAGTTTGATTCCCAGCTACAGGTGACATCCAGGATGAATGAAATGTATGTATGTTGAACTTCTTTCGTACCATACATAGCCAACCGTGCAAATTGGATGTGCCGGGGAAGGACAAAAAGCAGTTCTGAACCAGCCCCCGTGCCACCCTTCACCAATCTTGACTGACTGACGTAGTGACGACATCGCGTTGTTCTGCATACGAAACGCGTGGTTATCGTAATGGGTTCCAATGTTAGGCGTCCATCAGTGGCGTTACGAGCGGCGTGCACGTCGCTCTGCGAAGCCGCCGTTGTGTGCGAGCCACCACGACGGGACCACCGCCTGGCATTCTACGAGGCGCGCACTGCCAACCGAGTCTCTCGGCGCAACTTCGGATGGAAGCCCGGCGCGTCGCTCGCACCGCAGAACCCAACAACGTGCCGGAGTGTGCTCACGCCGTTCCACCAATCTAGCCATCCGCAAGCTAAACAAACACACACACCACGGTTCTCTTTGTATTCGTTAGCAATGCGGGGGCAGGCGGGAGACCAAAAATTTGCTGACAAAAATGTCCATGATCGCAGCTGACAATGCGAGTGCCCTGGATCTACCATGACAGGGCCGATATCTAGAGCCCAGGAGCGTCACAAAAAATCTACATTGTACCTCTTGGCTCGTTATAATCTACATTGTACCTCGACTCACTAGAATCTACATTGTATCTCTTGACTCACTAGAATCTACATTGTACCGCTTGACTCACTAGAATCTACTCTACATTGTACCTCTTGACTCGTTAGAATCTACATTGTACCTCTTGACTCGTTAGAATCTACATTGTACCTCTTGACTCACTAGAATCTACATTGTACCTCTTGACTCACTAGAATCTACATTGTACCTCTTGACTCACTAGAATCTACATTGTACCTCTTGACTCGTTAGAATCTACATTGTACCTCGACTCACTAGAATCTACATTGTACCTCTTGACTCGTTAGAATCTACATTGTACCTCGACTCACTAGAATCTACATTGTACCTCTTGACACACTAGAATCTACATTGTACCTCTTGACTCGTTAGAATCTACATTGTACCTCTTGACTCACTAGAATCTACATTGTACCTCTTGACTCACTAGAATCTACATTTTATCTCTTGACTCACTAGAATCTACATTGTACCTCTTGACTCACTAGAATCTATATTGTACCTCTTGACTCGGTAGAATCTACATTGTACCTCTTGACTCACTAGAATCTACATTGTACCTCTTGACTCGGTAGAATCTACATTGTACCTCTTGACTCACTAGAATCTACATTGTACCTCTTGACTCAGTAGAATCTATATTGTACCTCTTGACTCACTAGAATCTACATTGTACCTCTTGACTCACTAGAATCTACATTGTACCTCTTAACTCACTAGAATCTACATTGTACCTCTTGACTCGTTAGAATCTACATTGTACCTCTTGACTCACTAGAATCTACATTGTACCTCTTGACTCACTAGAATCTACATTGTACCTCTTGACTCGTTAGAATCTACATTGTACCTCGACTCACTAGAATCTACATTGTACCTCTTGACACACTAGAATCTACATTGTACCTCTTGACACACTAGAATCTACATTGTACCTCTTGACTCGGTAGAATCTACATTGTACCTCTTGACTCACTAGAATCTACATTGTACTTCTTGACTCACTAGAATCTACATTGTACCTCTTGACTCACTAGAATCTATATTGTACCTCTTGACTCGGTAGAATCTACATTGTACCTCTTGACTCACTAGAATCTACATTGTACCTCTTGACTCGTTAGAATCTACATTGTACCTCGACTCACTAGAATCTACATTGTACCTCTTGACTCACTAGAATCTACATTGTACCTCTTGACTCACTAGAATCTACATTGTACCTCTTGACTCACTAGAATCTACATTGTACCTCTTGACTCACTAGAATCTACATTGTACCTCTTCACTCGTTAGAATCTACATTGTACCTCTTGACTCACTAGAATCTATATTGTACCTCTTGACTCACTAGAATCTACATTGTACCTCTTGACTCACGAGAATCTACATTGCACCTCTTGACTCGTTACCTTTCGTCCGCGTTGGGTGAGTAAAGGCATTCTGGTCTCTGCAGGGACTCTCTCTTAGACATAGGTCCACGTGCGACGCAACCACTCCACAGGACACCAAAGTAACTCGCCATTAACCAGGAGGCGATAATCACGAGCATCAACTGCAGGCGACGAGGGAGGGATTCGGCACTGGGTGCGGCGCTACATTTGTAGTAGCTACACGTGTAGTAGCAGCTACATGTGTAGTAGCTACTGCTACATGTGTAGTAGCTACTGCTACATGTGTAGTAGCTACATGTGTAGTAGCTCCATGTGTAGTAGCTACGGACCCCGCACAATCAAGGGCCCCGCGCTAAATGCTTTCAAGCTATCAAATTCAGGTTCAGTGATTTTGCACTTGCTCTATTACTATAGTACTATACTGCCTTCAACTTTTATGAACGACTGGGTGTTTAAGGTTAGCGATTTGTCGTATTATATGGCTGTATAGCAAATGAAAAAAATACAATTGCTTCACTGTGCGAGTTAAAAATGTATGTATTTTAATATTTAAGTGTATTTTTTTATTTAGGGCCCCTTCATAACATACGCCAAAGGCCTCCTCGCTAGCTTAATCCGACACCGTTTAAACTCACGCTTGCAGGCCTTGCGGTCGCTGATGTGCTTGCCGAGGTCGCGGTAGAAGCCCTCCTTGCAGTAGTGGCAGTGCCGCCCGGCCGTGTTGTGCCGGCAGTTGAGGCAGATGCCGCCGCTCTTGCGGCCCGACAGCTTGTACAGCTCCATGTTGAAGCGGCACTTGCGTGCGTGCAGATTGCAGTTGCACGCTGCGGTGACACGATGGGGGTGGAGGGGGGAGGGGAGACATGATCAGCACTGTTGCCGCTGCTGCGCGATGGGCAAGCACGAACATCGTGGGTATCAGAATCAGAATATTTATTTATACCGGAGGATTCCGATGAGTTGTAAAACTCTTTTTTTCACAGGTGTAAAAGCGGCACTCGCTGGGGCTCCCACGGCGTGAGACGCGCTTCGGCCGCTGGGTCACAAACGTGGCCTGGGCACAGAAGGCTGCAGTGTGGAATGGGTAATTATAGAAACGCAAAACATTCCCCAATAACGGCCTTAAAAAGGTACACAACAAATAGCAGGCGACGTTTTGGGTAATGACCCTTCGCCATAATATTATCAACTTTTTTTTTTTATAAAGTGGTTTCCTCTCAAGGCTGCGGTGTTATTTGACGAATGTGGTGGGGTTTTTTTTTGTTACTTGTGCACCACTGCCAATGTGGCATCACCAAAAAAAATGTTGATAAATTATGGTATTATTTTTACAACGTGGACCGTGGACAAGCGCAACTATTGTGAGGTGAGACAATCTACATCCGGTAGATGACAAAAAGGCAGGGACCATTCCGTTTCTCCGACTCCTAAACGTGTTGTGCGTGGCTCTCGACAGGGTCGAGGCCAAGTGGGAAGGGCTGTGATGATTCCCAACGAGCAGGGGAAGGGAGGAGCGGATGGGGAGGACGAGGAGGTCGACGCCACGGCAACGAGGCCAGGGGAGGAGCCGAGCGGCGCGACCACGACGGAAGGTCTTGCATCGACTCGTGTGCACGATGTCTGGAATCTCTAGGCCTAGGATCTGTAACTCATTAAGCACACAGACGTGCATTTGTTGATGTGACACTGACGGCGAGCTGATTTTTTTTTTTGACGCAAGTAAAATCTTCACCGGTCCCGGACACCCCCATCATTCGACAACCCGTACTGACCAGCGAGGGGAAGTATGGTCAAACAGCTGCTATGACCGACATGGCATGGGGAGGAATCTTTCATCTTGCATGAATTGACAAAGGGCTGTAAATTACTTCCATCATCATTATATATACTGCTTCTGTATAATACAAAATGATTTGAGAGTGCCCATATACATATAAAACTGGGGTTTTTTGTACAATATTATGACTTTTAGTAACATACTCTTAGTTAAACACGTGATGCACGGTCCCAAAGATATTTTAATGTTGTTGCTTTTGACCACTTTTACCGTTGTTGTTTTTGTTGTTGTTATAAACGACGTTCAACATCGCCGGCAATCCGCTGCCTTTGTGGCGAGCGTTGCATCGCAGCGCGTGTGCGAGGACTTTCAAGGAGCTCGTTAAGCCTCCCCGAGGCCCTTAATACGCAATGTTCATTTTAAATTGGGGCTCATTCTGAAGATACGAAGCAGACCTCGGGCTTTAGTCATCCCGTTAATTACCCTTACGATTGATTAATGTAAATCACGCGACGGCTGAGCTTGCGTTTTCTGATGTCTGGGAGCTTCGTTACCCCGGGGCCTTCAGACACCGTCACGTGTCCACAAAACGAATTTTCCTTCGGAAATTTTCACCATCTGTGTCCTTACGCTTCCGACTGCTGTGCCATTTTACAGTTTTGTGTGTGTTTTAAGATTAGTTCCTTTATTGTTTAACGCAAAGTTTAAATTGTCAAACAATTCATAATCCAGACCCATTCGCGCTTCGCGAATGCTCTGTGGCGTTATTATGTTTTATTTTTTTTAGTTTGTAAAGCAATCTCCGGGGTTTTACCTCGAGTGTTTATGAGACGAAATTATTATACGCGCATTTGTTGAGAACATAACGAACAAAAATAAGCAGACAATACGCCGCATTGTATCTCTCCTTCACAAACGAGATGTCCATCTCCACGGAGTTAAGCAGACGAAATATTTTACTCGACAAGCCAAGAGCTTAAAGATCCACAGATGTCGTTCGCTGTGCAGCACCACTTGAGATTCCATCTCGCGAGGCGGTGGCCTGTACGATTATAGTATGTTTGTGCCGGATGTACCGATATTTAAAGTATTTAGCACCGTATGTAATTAACCATGTTAATCGGGCTGGCCGACTGCGCGTCTCAACGGCTAGCGACAGCAGTAGGTTCATTTAAATTCCAGTTTCATCATTGACCGAGCAGATTCATAATGAAAAAAATAGGTTCTCAAGCTTTTGTCAACATTCTGGCACGTCGGAACAAGAATAAAATATTCGATTAAAATCTCCTGGAACAACCTAGAGACATTTTTAATTGAGGGTAAGAATCAAGTGGAATTAATTTTCACGATAATTTTCCAATAATTTCACAAAATGATGAAAACACAAATTGTGGACGTGGATCATCTATTTTTCTGACATAATCAGCATCCACACAGGTGATTCGAAAGCGTTCTTTACCGACCAGCCATTTTAGCTTCGTTAAGGGCCACAAATCCTGAAATAATGAAACGAACAAAACCGGCTTGAGAAATAACACGACCGCAGCTGAGGTCACGATTTACAAACCCAGAACGTAAATCATGAAAAATCGTGCAAATTATAAGTGCCGAAATGACTTGGAAATTATTTGTCAAATGCTCAGTTTATATGCAACGCCTGTGGTGATATGGAGACAAAGAGGATCCAGAACTGAAAAGTAAACCTTATCAATGTTTTGTTGACAAAGAGAACGGAACCAAAGACAAAGTGTGCATAGATGTATGACAAAAATTATGTTTGTAGCTCTAGTCAACACTATGTTTATATCATTTTGAAGTGAGCTGCAGCTTCTATGTAAAATGTAGAACCTGTCAGGCGTGGCAAACGTTGAAACCAATCACCGTAGTCCTACTCACTGTGGATGTGTTTTTAAATTATTGATAGCACCTACGCTGCATATACAAACACGACTTCAAAGCAGCTCTATTTATTTTGTAAGATGGCCATGAATAAATGAATGCAATTTGCTATTTCTTACTTCTCTACGCCTGCAGCAAGGACACTGCTTTTCTTTGATCTCACAAGGCTCTCAGCTCTGCCAAGATATTTCACAGCCAATGGAATAACCGTGCCGGGCCCGACCTTAAACAACGCTGCGCTGCTGTGTTTAGTTGCGCACGGCCGACTCACTCTCAGGGTGATGCACTGAAATGGGAACAGAGTTGGTAAACGCTGGCACTCTATGCCGGCACTTCTCACAACACAACACGTTTTGTATTGTGTTGTGAAAAGTTACATTTCAACCACTCGTAATACGTATTCATATTTAACGACACGACCATTTATTTAATGTGCATACACTGCATGTATATTAGTTCCCACCGTACTTTGTAAGTAATGATTGAAAGATCACGACCGCTTGTTGACTGACAAACTCCATCGAGAAGATCTGCCACTGCACGATAAGCCCAGAAACCCGCCTTCGACTCCCGGCCACGGCGAGCACCGCTGGTGAACCCCCCACTGCACCAAACTGCACTGATCAGTGTGGTCAAGTATGGTCACAACCATCTCTCACTGTTCGACGCAGCCTGGGCAGGCCTTTTATCCAACAGTTGATTGACAAAAAGACTCAACAGTGATTAAAATATTTGAAGCTTTCGTGACTGCAGGAATCTATACTCTTTGATTATTTCGGTAAAGTCACGTAGATAGAAAATTAATAGATCACGACGTTTCGATCGCAACACAAGCAATCGTCATCAGGTGCTACGTCAGCAGTTCTCCTGCTGTGTTTGTTCCAGAACTGCTGTGTTTGTTTCAGAGCTGCTGTGTTTGTTTCAGAACTGCTGTGTTTGTTTCAGAACTGCTGTGTTTGTTTCAGAGCTGCTGTGTCTGTTTCAGAACTGCTGTGTTTTTTTCAGAACTGCTATGTTTGTTTCAGAACTGCTGTGTTTGTTTCAGAACTGCTGTGTTTGTTTCAGAACTGCTGTGTTTGTTTCAGAGCTGCTGTGTTTGTTTCAGAACTGCTGTGTTTGTTTCAGAGCTGCTGTGTTTATTTCAGAACTGCTGTGTTTGTTCCAGAGCTGCTGTGTTTGTTTCAGAACTGCTGTGTCTGTTTCAAAACTGCTGTGTTTGTTCCAGAACTGCTGTGTTTGTTCCAGAACTGCTGTGTTTGTTTCAGAACTGCTGTGTGTTTGTTTCAGAACTGCTGTGTCTGTTTCAGAACTGCTGTGTTTGTTTGAGAGCTGCTGTGTTTGTTTCAGAACTGCTGTGTCTGTTTCAGAACTGCTGTTTGTTCCAGAACTGCTGTGTTTGTTTCAGAACTGCTGTGTTTGTTCCAGAACTGCTGTGTTTGTTCCAGAGCTGCTGTGTTTGTTTCAGAACTGCTGTGTTTGTTTCAGAACTGCTGTGTGTTTGTTTCAGAACTGCTGTGTCTGTTTCAGAACTGCTGTGTTTGTTTCAGAACTGCTGTGTCTGTTTCAGAACTGCTGTGTTTGTTCCAGAACTGCTGTGTTTGTTCCAGAACTGCTGTATTTGTTTCAGAGCTGCTGTGTCTGTTTCAGAGCTGCTGTGTTTGTTTCAGAACTGCTGTGTCTGTTTCAGAACTGCTATGTTTGTTTCAGAACTGCTGTGTTTGTTTCAGAGCTGCTGTGTGTTTGTTCCAGAACTGCTGTGTTTGTTTCAGAACTGCTGTGTTTGTGTCAGAGCTGCTGTGTGTTTGTTTCAGAGCTGCTGTGTGTTTGTTTCAGAACTGCTGTGTGTTTGTTTCAGAGCTGCTGCTTGTTCCAGAACTGCTGTGTTTGTTTCAGAACATCTACGTGTTTGTTTCAGAACTGATGTGTTTGTTTCAGAACTGCTGTGTGTTTGTTTCAGAACTGCTGTGTTTGTTCCAGAACTGCTGTGTTTGTTTCAGAACTGCTGTGTTTGTTTCAGATCTGCTGTGTTTGTTCCAGAACTTCTGTGTTTGTTTCAGAACTGCTATGTTTGTTTCAGAACTGCTGTTTGTTTCAGAACTGCTGTGTTTGTTTCAGAACTGCTGTGTTTGTTTCAGAACTGCTGTGTTTGTTTCAGAACTGCTGTGTTTGTTTCAGAACTGCTCTGTTTGTTTCAGAGCTGCTGTGTGGTTGTTTCAGAACTGCTGTGTTTGTTCCAGAACTGCTGTGTTTGTTTCAGAACTGCTATGTTTGTTTCAGAACTGCTGTGTTTGTTTCAGAGCTGCTGTGTCTGTTTCAGAACTGCTGTGTGTGTTTCAGAACTGCTGTGTTTGTTCCAGAACTGCTGTGTTTGTTTCAGAACTGCTATGTTTGTTTCAGAACTGCTGTGTTTGTTTCAGAACTGCTGTGTCTGTTTCAGAACTGCTGTGTTTGTTTCAGAACTGCTGTGTTTGTTCCAGAACTGCTGTGTCTGTTTCAGAACTGCTGTGTCTGTTTCAGAACTGCTGTGTTTGTTCCAGAACTGCTGTGTTTGTTTCAGAACTGCTGTGTTTGTTTCAGAACTGCTGTGTCTGTTTCAGAACTGCTGTGTTTGTTTCAGAACTGCTGTGTTTGTTTCAGAACTGCTGTGTTTGTTCCAGAACTGCTGTGTCTGTTTCAGAACTGCTGTGTTTGTTTCAGAACTGCTGTGTTTGTTTCAGAGCTGCTGTGTTTGTTTCAGAACTGCTGTGTTTGTTCCAGAACTGCTGTGTTTGTTTCAGAGCTGCTGTGTCTGTTCCAGAACTGCTGTGTTTGTTTCAGAGCTGCTCTGTTTGTTCCAGAACTGCTGTGTTTGTTTCAGAGCTGCTG